ATTTATTATAAATATTATGAAATATTTATTGTAAATTTTGTAGTAAATGCTGTGAAAATACTTAATGAGACATTATAATTCAAATAAGAAGTACTTGACGGAAATATTTATTTATACTTATTATAAATACTATATTAAATATTTAGTCCATCTTTTAATAATATTTCGAATAAAACTATATATAAAATATTTATATAACATTTCAAAAAATCAATATTATAATAATAAATATTTATTATAAATATTCTGTGTTGTCTAGATATACCTAATATATCTTTAATATAGAATATCGCATTTTACGTTATTTAATAATGATATTCTAAAATTTATAGTGAAGATACCGCACATCAATGATGGAAAATTGATCTCGCCTGAATGCGTGAAACTGAGTGTGTGCGCGATAGGAGACAGATGAAATTGAGAGATTTAATCCGCTGAAAATAGATCTGTCGAACATGGAAAAATAGCTTCTCTAAAATATTTGTACCGTTCTCAACCTGTTTCGCATATTTTGCAATCCTACGCGAATCTTCACGCCTTGCGTTTCCTGTCTATCCGCGCCGCGCTATAGTGAATCACAATATTCCGAGACAAAAGTCTCAAAACAACAAACAAAAGGTCAATGATAAAAGGTCAAAATCAATAATACAGAGATTAAATAAAGTTGAACATGAATGCAATAATTAAAATTAGCATTTGTCGAATTTTCCTTTAGAATGTGGCTTATTAATGACCATTATAATATAAAAAGTTTTAATTTAAAAATCCACAATATCTTTTACCTCTTTGATGATATATAATTGTCGATCATAATATTTTTATTGATCGTCTCTTCTATTTTTCTTATTTCATATGATTATTAATTATTATTATTATTATTATTATTACATGTTAACAACGTTAGTTGTTATAGGTGCAGTAACTATAAAAATAGCTTATTTAACTATATAATTATGTATATAATTATTACCACTATTTTTTTCTCTGAGTAAAAAGTTCTAATTCAGAATCAAGATGATGTAAGAAAAACGACATTTTTAACTTTGATAGCTCCATAACTCTGTAATATATAAAAAATAGGACGAAGAAATCAGGCTTATAAAATTTATTTTCTCTATCTTCCAGATAAACTCATGCCGCATGTCATACACGAAGCTGTGTGTATTATTAAAATATAAATAAAGAAAGAATCTCTTTTCATGGAGAATAAGATAGGTGTTGCCATATTATACCTTCTGCTGATGAACATTTTTTAACGATAAACAAGTGAATACGTACAAGTTATTTTCTAATTGATAATTTGGATAGTTCGGAGGAGACATTATATAAGAAATAATGATGAATTCAAAGCAAGCAGAAATATGGCTGGCAGTGTTGTATACCGGATCCATGATATCTTCCGTCACATCTGTTATATCTCTGGTGACCACATGGCAGAATTGGGTAGTGACATTAGATAGTTGCATCGATGTTGATTGCGGGTGTATATTATACGGTATCAATACATTTCGTACATTTCTCGGCGGCGACGAGAAACTATGCCACTTCGTCGCGTACGCTCTCATACCCATCATAGTAATCAGCTTGTGTCTTGGGGCCTATCATGGGTACAGATGCTGCATACATAAAAATTTAGACGAACCTAAGCAAATTAATCACGAACAAGTGTACAATGACAGGTGTTTATTTTTCTCATTTTTTGAGAAGTAAAAAATTTGTCATGCATGAATATATATAAATATTCATAAACATACATAATTTTGTATGAAATATGTCCATACATGTACATTCTTCTTTCTTTTATAAAATTACTTTTTAGTGTAATAGAAATAATAATAATATGAAAAACATTAAAAATAATTAAAAGGGTAATTTTTGTTTTCAAGAAAAATTCAAGTTCGAAGAAATATAACAAAATTACTTATATAATTACATATATAATTACATATAAAATTATGCATAATTGTGTATGAGGAATTTTTTTTACATTTTTCCAAACTTGTTTTTTTCTAAAACGAACAATGTGAAAATTATCTCTTTAATTATTTTTTATGTTTTCAAGTTACTATTATTATTTTTATTATTATACACTAAAATTTTACAAAAGAAAGAGGAACATATGAACATGTATAACATAAAATATGTTCATATATATATATATATGGACATATTTTATGTTATACATGTTTATGAATATTTATGTATGTTTATATATATTTATACATATTCATATGAAAAATTTTTTATCATTTTTCATAATTATATATATGTTTTTCTAATTACATTTTTCTTGTAGAAGAAATCTTAATGGATATGTTGTGATCCATGTAAAGAAGAGAGTTGCTTTTAAGAGATGGATGCCTATCGGTTTTCTCGCAGCGCTTGTCTGCTGCCTGTCTCTCGCCCACGCAGTCGTGATAACCGACGGCTACTATAAAACTTGCGAACAATATAGACGAAATCTCATTCAACTCTTGGGTTCGACAGGCCGCGAAATTTTAGTAAGACAAATTTTTTTTCTAACTTAATTTTCAACTCCTCCGGAGCTGACCGTCAAAATCTGTAACAGTTACTTATGCTAATCTATAAAATCCATTTAATTTATGTTAATTGAAATCAATTAATTTTAAAGGATTAAAATGACATAATTCGTACTATAGAAAAACGAATGAATATTAAATATATTTTAATAAAAATAATTTTTACAGATATAAAGAAAATTGAATTATTTGACTTTTTGACAAAAAGATTTATAATAATGGTAGTAGATAGGTTAAAAAGTTGAGTAAGATCGAATGACTGTCAGTTCCGGAGAGTTAAATAATTTTAGCGATTGATATATTCCAAAAATAAAATGAATTTAAAGATTAAAACTCTATTTTAATTTATTCTTGTTATAGGCAATTCATAATAGATTATCGTGCGGCGCGATTTTCGATTTCATGGATTATGTTCAGCCAGATAAGAATCATTGGAGTCGCACCGAGATGAATACCGGGATTGCGCTTCAACTCGCAATATACACAAGCTGGTTCAATTTTGTCGTTTGGATAGTCGCGTGTTCTATAAACTTCATCATGGCGAGGAAAAGGCAGCGCAATTTAGGGGAAAAATTTTGTTGCTGTTGACATCCTTTATAAAATTAATTAGTGACAAATTCTTGACAGTTTTGGTAAAATATAATAAATAAGGATGTCCTCTGAAAAAATATAACAAGATATGCAGGCGTATATGATTGATACTCATGTTAATAGTATACATTTTATTTATATATTTTATACAGAGATATAGTGTTTTCAATAACTATTTTCTTCGTATTTGTGCCTAATATAAAAAAATTAAAGATTCATCTGTTCTGCCGTGGAAAATAATCGTGTCCCTCTTTCATATTTTATATAATTCCGTTCTCTTTATACATTTTTACACGATTTTCATTACTATATTACACATACACATATGCGCACACATTGGAACTATATTTTTGATCCAACCCAAGAAATTTAAAAATCCACACTATTAAACTTAATATAAACGAGAGCGCGTTATTTCTTTCATATTATTATCTTGCTGAAACACGATAATTATATTATTCATAATAAATGGTAAAGAAAAATACAATAACCTGTTAGTGCAGGCAGTGACACAATTTAATATATAACTAGTAAAATATATCTGTAAAACTTTCCAACACACATTTTTTTCCTGCGAGACATATACATGAAAAAGAATACGAAGAAGAAAAAAACCTATAAACCATACAATAAATAAAACAATATGTGAAAATTTAAAGAAGGAATGTATTGTATCTATATACTATATATGTAGAATCATAAGAATTTATACAATCGAATTATATTCTTCTTAAATCCGTTTCTATCAATGTAAATTAACTTTAATCTCAGTTCTTACTCTTTATCTTTTTCTAAGATTTGGAAAAAGATGAAGAGTTAGTTAAACCGAGATTAAAATTAAACTATATTGATAGAAACGGGTTAACCGTTTAATTTAACACCCTTAGGATGTTAAATTAAAAATGCTCAGTATTTCCTTACCGAACCTTCAGTTCGTTTTATTTTATACATGGTGCACAGAATGATGAAGTATATTGTTTTAAGGCTTGGAATAACAACGGTTCTTCCATATATTCAACAAATACTTTAAAATTATTACTTTTCGAATTTTCATCATGTCGCTGAAATTTAATGTTTAACTTTCTATTTGCATAAATAACTCTTACTTTTGCAATGACGACATTAAAAATAGCTTTTAACTTCTCCTATAGATATACATACATCTCACCGTTATGTATAGGAACTAAACAGAAAACAATTTCTTAGATACATTATCCCTTACATATATAAATACAATTGACTCTGTTTATCTTATAATACTATCAGCTTTTATTCTACATAACAGCAGAGATTTGCAAGCTTGAATGCTACTCGATAAAGGAAGGCACCTAAATCATATAAGCTATAATATCTACAAATTATGTTACATTTTGTTATATACATACATATCAGACGGGGCATTTTAATCGCCGCAGGCGGATATCTTAGAAATTAAGAGAGATAAAAGAATTGTATGTAAAAGTTATAGATTTTCTCGGAAGAAAGAAGATGAAAATAACGGATTTTAAGAGCTATACTAAGGTCAAGGTCAACATAAATTCTTTGAATGGAAACTCCTATTTTTTTGTTGTATATTAGGTGTGGGAAAAAGTTCGTGGCGTTTTTTAAATGCCATCTAATGGGAAAAACGCCACGAACTTTTTCCCACACCTAATATTTTTGTCAAGACGTTTTCAAAACACTGGTTATAATCTGTTTTAAGTTGAAAAGTAGGATGCAATCCATTTCTGACTGCAAATACTTTGAAATATTTTTTGATTGACCAATTCTTTCTGAAAAAATTTTTTCTTCCTGATCAGTCAACGAAGCATTTACAGCGTTAAATGGTTCGCACTTTTAAAAATAAGGATTTTCATTTAAATAAAAAAATTCATATCTACTTTAATTAATTCTTATAACGTCCTCTATACAAAATGCGTTTTCCACTTTCTTTTCTCTAAGAAAACATACATTTTACGAAACTTTTATATAAATTTTTTTTTACCTTTCTTAATGTTAATTCTCTCCACTTGGAATAAAATGTCCCACTCACACTGCATACACATATATATATATATACACATATATACATATATACGTGCGCGCGCGCCTGTGTGTATGTGCAAAAAACAATAGATTAACAATAGATAAACATTTTTTTAAGGATATTTTTAAGAATATATTAAACGTACAATCCCTGTAAAAAAAATTAAATTTGGAAATGTGTTTAATATTTACATTTCAAATAAACTACATATGAAAGTTGTATGAATAAGATTATTTTTTTGTTTAATAACACATTTTTGTAGTTATATTTATTTTATATTATTTTTATTGTTAAAAATTATAATTAAAAAAATGATTAAAAAGTTTACATTTTTCTTTTATAAGTAAATATTCAAAATAATTTGTATGTTTTATTGCGATTCACTGATTAGTTACA